TTAATTTTTACACCAAAGGTTCCAAACAGTGCATCAAAAGTACATGAAAGCTTCATTTTTGGGCTCTGGTGTCAACCATTTAAATGTATGAAAGAATTTGACTCTGTTGAAAAATAAGATATTTGGTATTTCATTTATTTTGGGAGTGGAATAACTTTTTCTAATTGGGGGCTTATGTTATTCAAAAAACTCTTCAAAATCTATGCTTACAAATGCGAAAGTATCTTCCTTTACACATATTAAACTCTGTTTCTGCGTATTGGTAGGTGAAATTTGGTATGTAGGTGCTTCTTAGGTCTTAGATGCTCCCTTAGAAAGGATTTTTAAATAACCCCACTGAGGGTCCCCAATGAGGGTAAAGAGGCGCGTTTACATATGGAAATTACCTTCTCATCATTGTTTCTCCGTACTGCTACATTTTAGGTAGCTGAAATTTGGTATGTAGGTTTGTTTTATGTTGTAGATGTACAATAAGAAATGATTTTTCAATTTTTTAACTGAGCCGCGTTTCATTACTGTTTGGAGGCTGAAATTTTTAATGTAGGTTCGTTTGATGTTGTAAGAACCAACTGAAAGCTTCTGCAGAAAAATATTTCATTGAGAGAGATCCAAACGTTGGGATCAATCAGCCGTATATTGTTTAGAAAAATGGCCATTAATATTTTCGTACAGCGCCATCTGCCCGCGAATAGATCAAGCAATAATGTCGGTAATTCTGTCAAGTACAGATCCCGAGCTTGAGAGTTACAAACATACATACATACAGGTGAAGCTAATATAAAGCGTGTAAAAAATGAAATTTGATTTGTGTTTCAGAAAAATGGCACAGGCCTCTGAATACAAGGCAGTTCCTACCAATGCAAATGGAGATGAATCTTTTGTTGATGATGGAAACCGTGCAAAAGCTTCAGAGCTGAGTCATGGTATGTTATAGTTTAGTTTTGATCCATGAATAGAAACACCAAATAAGGAGTGGTACAATGTCAAATTGAGCTGGTAAAAACTCAGAAAAATAATCCCGCCCATTTTACTGTTGTCACCGTGAAGGTAGCTGTATTTCTATTTGTGATATCCAAGTCCACGATAAAATACGAATATAGGTCGTATGTAGCATCTTCAAACTTGATTTGAACCAGTGTACCCCCTGTAGATGACTCGTTCCTTCAACCACTTGATGTTATGTTGAAGGGTTTAAAATGCTTCGTTATTACCCATTCCTATCTTGGATTCCTATCTTTTTTTTGTTGCATGGCAATACTCACTGTGAACGACCTCTCGGTTTCAACTTTCATTCATATGGTATCTAACAAACGTAATTCTTTGAGTTTTTGTTCATGTTTGTTGGCTTGGTTTTGAAACGTCGTCTATTGAAAAATTAGCTAACGAGGAAGCCCCAAAAAAGAACAGACATATTCCAGAATATTGCAGTAGTTCTGTAAGCAGAGGGAAGCAGGTACAATCAGTGCTCTGTTGGCTATCATCCCCAAAATTGTTTGAAAAGATATGGCTGGATATAATATCAGAAATTGTCTCAGATCCCTTCACACTATCTATAGCAGCTTCACAAAAACCAAGCCATAGCAAAAACTGGCTCTAAAAATTGCGTATATAGGATTAAATTTAAAGAAGCTGTAGTTGAGTTGACTAAATAATACACATACGTCTTATTAAAGAGAAAATAATTTTTTATAGTGTGCGATCTCTGCTGCAGGCATCCAGTGATGCAACTGAACCCAGGTTTGTGTTTAATAAACCCTGCAAAATACAAATAGAACAGAACACAGAGTCTGATGCTACAAATGCAATACGCATATATACAGACGGCTCAAAAACCAAAGAAGGCTCCCGATGTGGAGTTTACTCCAGATCACTAAGCCTAAGGATTGAGTGGGGAATGGGAAAAAACAAGAACTGGTTGGTATCTCAATCGCTACAAAAGAAATAACCAGGAAAGGAATTTCTGGCAAAAAATTAGATTAGATTAGATTAATATGGGGCCTCTGTGCTGAACAACCACTACACTGCAACCTTTGCAGATCTATTGTGTATGCCCTCATGTATGCTAGAGTTCCTTGTCTAGGCCCGTCCTTGTAACTAGACTCCATAGGCCAGACCTCAAGTTCCCCATATATTGAGAGGGTTGTGGTTTTTCCTCCCCTAATGTTGCAAACCTTATCCTTGACAGACCTTCGCA